CGCAGCTGCCTCCGCGCGTGCCTGGAGATGTACCAAATTGTCGCCGCCGAAGGCGACTCGACGCCGCTGAGATCGGAGATCAAGCTCTGACAGGTCGCACGTCGCTCCTTTGACGCCGACGTGACTCCCCCGTGCAGATCACATCAGGACACGGTCTCGACACGCTCGGTACGACGCCTGCGACCCGTCTTGGTTCAGGTGGCACGACGCTCATCGCGCCTACCAGCGCTGCCGTGCAGGTTGCCACGACGAGGTCGAGCACGCTTCTATACGCTCGCCCAGCCTTCCTTTCTATCCCATTAGGCAGCCTGGGAACGGTGGCGGTCAGAGGCAAAGCCTGCGAGGGGTGGTGGAACCACATGTCACGGCTACCGCCGGCTCGACCCCACGATAGCCTCCGGAGGCTGACTTTGAGGCACAATCATCGGACGACGTCGGCGAGTTGAGTCGCGCTCGCGGTAGCCAGATGACCTCTCATACTAGTATCATCGGCCATGGCCGCAGGAAGCGCGGGGGAGGGCGCTGGGAGCAACACGGAGCTCCGTTGGACGCGTTTTCAAGATTAGCGTGTCAGAGTGAATTGGAACTAGCCTTGTGCACAAAACCTTTTCCTTCTAATAGAACGTTCTAACAGGGCTACACAATGACCCTATAGTGTGGGGGTGTTTCTGGCGAGTTGTGATGAGTAGAATTAGATTAGCCAATGGTATTTTGAAGTTCATTTATGAAAATACCAACTTGCCTATGTGCACGTCTCCGCGGCGGCGGCCCGGAGGCGGCCCGGCGGAGCGGTCAGAGCAGCACTGCGCCGGCCGGCGATCGCCTCTCGACTATACCACGGGCTCTATTGAATGGACTGAATTTCTCTCGCCCGGCTACGTCTGCCCGGGGCCTGGCGTGCCTCCGCCGTGGGCTGAGCACCCGGGAGAGCCACTCAGCAAGTGGTGTGCGAGCGTGTAGCCTTTAGCGTGCAGTCGGCCCTGTATGTTGTGTGTGTGCACAGAGTTCCAAGAGACGACAGAAGAGAGATCATGTGAGAGATGAGGTTGAGCCCCGCGATATTTTATTTGTAAATTGTCATTTGAATATTTTTGATGATCTCGATCTCGCAATCGCCAATCCTGGCCGTTCCGGGGGTCGCGGGACGCGGGTCCGGCGGGGTCGGACCCCGATAAGGCAGGCGATAAATATTGAATATATTGCTCCAATAGTTAGAGAGGCGATCAATATCAATATGTATACCTCGAGGTATGGCAATAGGAGTTAGAGGAGAGGCTGGGCCTGGGCTGGTCAGGACCGTGGGTCAGGTGGGTCCATCCTGGGCTTGAAAGTGGCTCTAAACCGTTAAAAACGGGCCAAAATCGCTTCGAAATCGCTTAAACCGCATTAAAAATCGCCTTGAACTCGCGATTTTTTCGATTTCAGCCCAGGTCATGCAAAACGGGCCCTGAGTGTCACCGAAACGTGTACATCGGCATAAAAATGACCCTTCTGCTACCCGCACGCCGCCTCGCCGGCCACCCAGGCCGGGTCATAACACGTGGGGAGGAGGGAGGAAGGGTCACAAGGCGACACACCGACGTACTGACCGACACACTACGCCTCCGGGTCGCCGGCCGGACGCACGCGTGCCACCACAATCCGCACCATCGCGGCAATAACCGAGTCCTTCTCGGGACTATAGTCCTCTCCCAGATGCTCCAGCTTGATCCCGCGGCGCACCAGCTTGGAGCGTCCCGGCCCGTCGCCAAACAGCCGCTCCGCGCGCCGCTCGGTCGGAATGGAGGCCACGCCATCGCCGCGCCGCAACGCGTTGGTGATGAGGAGGTGGTACGCGACGGACAGAGCCATCGTCGTCGCCCGCTCCGCCACGCCGCACAACCGCGACGGCCCCTGCGCGCCCGCCTTCGTCGGCCCGCGCTGCGCCTGCCCCGCCCCGATGGTCTCCAAGTTGGTCGCGCCGTTGCTCTTTGCCCTCCTCTTGGCCTCCGCGTTCAGCAGCTCGAGCGGGCCGGTGTCGAAGGCCTCGACATCGCCGACCTCGAGGATGGACTCGGTGATCTTGAAGATGGCGCCGTGCGGCATGTACGAGCCGTGGTTGTACAGCGAGACCCGCTCGTAGATCTCGTGCATGTCCACGGCCAGCTGCATGTTCTCGAGCGCGCGCGCCTCCTTGACCGCCTTGTCCGCGTTGATCGGCACGCGACGCTTCCAAGCGTAGTACCACGCGAAGTAGGCGTCGAAAGCGAGGGCGGCGCGGATGGCGGTCTCGGCGCGCGAGCCGTACATCTCGCGCAGCAGCTCCAGGTGCGCCGTGTCGGCCTCGCGCTCGACGCGGGAGGGCTGGCGGGTCAGCTCGGCGTCGGCCCAGGCTGTTCTGGGGCGTG